TTCTTTCTTTCTTTTTTTTTTTCTTTCACTCGTCGATTCTTCTCGCGAATTCCATTCTTCCGTTCCATTCTCTTTGTTCAGTTGTGCACCTCCCCTGTGTGACACACACACACACACAGATACACACGACACAACACCTCCTCTCTCTCTCTCTCTCTCAGCTTTTCGCTTTTTTTTTCTCTACCTCGCACTCTCCTCGCCCAACGAAACCCCGCGTAACCCCAAGTCGGTCAGTCGTGTTACTCATGATCCAACCGGCGACCAGGTAGTATCGCTGATTATGCGCGACATGAGCACCACCGCCATCGTAGTGTTTTACGAGCGTCATGTAAAATGGAATTAAACAATGTTGTTAAGACGTAAACATGTTTTGGCTACACTGTGGACTCTTTGTTCTCGTGATTGCCGTACCTGGATTTATTAGCAGCGCCGACAGCACGTCCAAGCGAGGTAACGCCTGCCTGCCTGCCTGTCTATTTGTCTATCTGCTTGCTCGCTTTTACCTCTCTCTCTCTCTCTGTATGTTTATCCATCCCATTCCCACCCTCTCTGCCAGGCCTGTCTATTTACCTGCCACGCAACTACTTCCTCCTCGTCCCCCTTGTCGTGCTCGTTGATCGAGCCACACAGCTTCGATTTATACACCGTAAATTGCATATATCGAAAATCGGCGAGGAGGGTTGGTTGAAAGCGTGGCCATGCGTCCTGGGAATCCGGATGGCCTCTTCTCACCTCTCCTCCTCCTCTTCCTTCCTTCCTTCCTTGATTTATGCCCGTTGGCACGCGATCCTGTAATTTTCCTAGGCCGTGGTTACGCGCTCTTCTATGTGTGTGTGTATATATATATATCTCTCTCGCTCGTTCGCCTTTTCGTCTCGTCTCCTTCGCTCGTAAATTCCGCTTGGACGCTTGGCCGTTAATCGCGCTCGCTCGCAGCCTCTGGCATGGCGTGTTCCGGGTTATGGTACGATACGATACGATACACGTACGATTGCCTGTTGCAGCCCTTTTTCCTCCAAAAATTTTCGTCGAGGCTCGAATCCTCTCGATCGAGTTGAACGGAAAATTTCTTGGGGAAAGTTAATTACTCGTACTTTCTTTCGTACTTTTTTTTCTTTTTTCTTTTCTTTTCTTTCGTTTTTGACCGTCGATGTTGTGGAGACGAGGAGAACGGCGTGCGTTCGAGCTACTTCCCTCCAATGTGCGTGTGATGCATGACACGAATTTATGCCGATTGAATGGTAAACAATGATGTACGTTCAAGTTGATTTTTCTCTTTCTCTTCTTTCTTTCTTTTTCTTTATCATTTTTTTTTTTGTAGAAAATTTCTATCACAACATATTTAATATTTGTACATTGAATGTAAGATACAACGAAACGGATTTTACGATTTCCTTTTTTCCCCTTCTCTTTCTCTTTCGAAATTTCATCAGCAACTAAATGCGAGTGTTGTGAAATCAGGATTACATTACTTCCGCGAATATCTCTTCCCTTCCCCCTTTTTCTCGTATAAAATTTGAACGAACTCTCGAAGAGTCTCGAAACAAAGAGAAACAAAGAGAGAAAGGGGAGGGGACGATTTCAGGACGGAGTAGAAAACGCGTGTGTGAATAGACACGTTTGATACGCGAGCAATGCGGCGCGTTCGCGCCGCGTTCAACCGTTGAGGACGTTTTCTTTTTTAATGCCGGCTACCGACGCGCATTAATGTTACACGCAGGGACGCGTTATCGCTACGTTATCGCCGTTTCGATGTTATCGATTTTGGCCGATGATGCATGGGGGAAGCGGTTCACGCGACGAGGAGCGTGTGCGTGCACGCTTCTCGTCGGTAAATAAATAAATAACGCGGATTTTCGAGATGGAAAATCGAGCGATACCGGGCTCGAAATCGAAACGTTTCCTCGGGAAACGACGGGAGTGTAACGGCATTTTCGTATCTGAAAATAGAATCTTGCAACGCTTGATTCGCATCGTGACGTTTGCGTACGCGCGCGCGCGCGCGCGTGTATGTCGTGTATCCCTTTTGATGTATCGGTAACGAGGAGAGGAGAGTTGGTTGGTCGGTTTAGAATTTGAAACGATAATGTATTTTGGCGACAATTTGTCCCTTGATTATTATCGTGATGGGGTACGGTTTCTTTTATTTTTGATAGGTCTTTCCAAGTGAGGTTAGAATTTGGATGAAATTTTGTAAGTTTGTAGGAGTTTGGAAGGAAATAATGTACGTATTTTATACGTACGTTTCTTTTTTGATACTCTTAAGGGAGGAGGATTTGGTTAGAAATTGGATGAAATTTTTATAAGTTTGTAGAAGGAAATAATGTATGTATTTTATACACGTTTCTTTTTTTATTCAAAAAGAAGAGGATTTGGTTAGAAGTTGAATGAAATTTTGTAAGTTTGTAAGGAAATTGGAAGGGGATAATGTATGTATTTTAATAATAATTGAAACTTAAATAGATCTCTTATATTTGATTTATACATGTTTCTTTTTTGATATTCTAAAAAAAAAAAGGATTTGATTAGAATTTAGATGAAATTTTGTAAGTTTGTGGGAGATTGGCAAAAGATAATGTATGTATTTTATGTATATTTCTTTTTTGATATTTTTAAAGAGGAGGATTTGGTTAGAATTTGAATGAAATTTTGTAGGTTTGAAAATTGAAAGGAGGATAATGTATTTTAGTGATAATTGAAATTTAAACAGATGCTTGATTTATTTCACATTTCTTTTTTGATATCCTAAAGGAGGAGGATTTGGTTAAAATTTAAATGAAATTTTATAAGTTTATAGAATGATACAATGTATATATTTTACACGTGTTTCTTTTTTATTCAAGAAGAAGAAGATTTGGTTAGAAATTGGATGAAATTTTGTAAGTTTAAAGATTGGAAAGGTTAATGATAATTGAAGTTCAACGTGAAAATAGATCTCTCTCATGCTTTGATTTATATTTTCAAGTACGTATATCTTTGCTTCTCTGACGAGGAAGTGTTTGGTTACAAAGTTTGAAGTGAAATTTTATAGATTGTAATCTCTGACGAGGAGGGGTTTGATTAAAGTTCGAATGGAATTTTATAGGTTAGAAGATTGGAAAGAAATATAATTTACTCTTTTTCGAAGATGTGATAATTGAATAATTGGCGTTCAATCTGAGAATAATAGATCTCCCCTGATTTATATATATCGTGAAATACGTATCTTCGATTCTCTGACGAGGAAGAATTTAAAGTTCTAATGAAATTTTATAAATTTGGAAATTACACAACGATCTAATTTCCAATGCAAAATTAGAAAGCGTACAATTTTAAAAGCTACTTTTGTCCAAGTTTCCACGACAATTCTGAATATTTTTATCTCTCGTAGATTGGTGCACGATTCGCATATAAAATCGCGTTTCAATTAAATTGTCTTGAGGAAAGAGGTTAGTTAAGGGGGCAAAACCAATTTCCAAAGTTCGATTTCTAAATAGGTAAGTTGGAAACAATTCGAGCGAATAATCGAACAATTTCCCTGCTTTCAGACTCCTTTCACAAACTCGTCAATTTTTCATTGATACATTTTCCATTTTCTCCAACTCTTTAAAGTGAACTCTTGAGGAGGTGGTTTCGCTCTTTAAATTTCAAGTTATCCCACTTAAAAAAGAATACAACGCGTACTTTACTTTTGGCCCACTGTTCAACCCAAATTTCATTCGAGTCGAGATCGTTTTTATTTCGTCGAAACAACCAAGGTTGAAACTGTTGCTAAGATTTTATTCATACTGTTTGATTCGCTTCTTTAATTCATAATAAACAAAGATGCAAAATATATTTTCTATCAACATCGTTCATAGCAATATGGTTCAATCAACTGGTTATTTTTCCTTCTAGTTGACTCGAATATTATTAAAATTTCATTCACGAACAGAAGCAAGCGCATAAATAAGAAAATTATTTTCTTCTCGATTTAACCGATTCAACGAAATATATATATATTTTTATTAAGACATCGATTTTCCGTTCAATCTCGCGTCAAATTAAATATTAATTTAATTATTTCTGCTCATTAAAATTTACATATTCACAATGTACGAACCGACTGCCATTTATTCTCTTTTTTTCTATTGCCACAGAAGTTTCTAACTGTAATTCGAAATACTGATTCAACTACTTTCGCTGTCTGAAATATCCTGAAACATTTTTTTCGTCTCACTTTCTTCAAACAAAATGAAAAGAAAACACGCACTCGAATGACTGACACACCAAAAATAATCCTCTCCACCATAGTTCCAAGTTGGTCAAGACATCAATCTTCCACGCAGCCAAATTTAACTACTTGCATTAATTAATGAAATATATTTCATTTTTTCATGTTTCATTTCAAAATAATATCACGAAAATTATTCTCATCATTGCACGCCATAATTGCAAGTTAGCCACGATTAAGATATCGATCTTTCACGCAATCGAATTCAATTTCAATTAACTGGAATATTTTAAAATATGTCATTCTTTTTTTTTTTTTTTTACTAAAATGCACGAATTACGTTATCCTCGTCACACACCGTCATACACACAATCTCAATTACAATCCCAAGTTACTCGCGTAGTAAGAAGTAATTTTTCATCACGCAACCACCTAATAGCCGAATACGCACGACGGGGGTGATTAATTTTTCGCTCAAAGTGGCGACGTTCCGTCGCGCTATTATGTGTATAATTAAGTTTGCATCACCGTCCAAGCGTCATAAACATGCCACGATCCACATGTTTGCGCTACACAGACACCGAATCGCGGGATTCGATCGATCGATCGATCGATCGATCGACCGTAGTGATTAATCACCTATCCAACGGTTATCGGCCGGCTTTACGTGGCGATTTCGAGATGGGATCCGATCCGCTGACGGATTTTCGAAAAATGGGGAAGAGAGAGAGAGAGAGAGAGAGAGAGAGAGAGAGAGAGAGAGAGAGAGAGAGAGAGAGAGAGAGAGAGAGAGAGGTACGGTACGGTACGGTACGGT